ATTATTAGAAATATGGTGGTACATGTGGCCTGAAGATCAAGTTTAACGTGTATCATCGGTGGTACACATGGCACGGAACATGTTAAGTGTGCCTTTTTTCCCCCGGAAAAATTTGAAAATAATTGTAGTAGGAGGAAAGCGAGTTTCTGTTCTCTCATGATAAAATTATGAACCTGACAATCGCTGAATTCTTGAGCACTATTGTCAGACACAGAACTGGGGCGATGTGCTCTTGGATCCTCAGCTTCAAAGCCAACTTCTTCATGTTCCAAACTATAATCGTAGTGTCTTCCGAGCCTGTCAGCATGTACTGCGAGTATTGTGTCACGGCCAAACACGAAATCGGGCTCGAATGACCTGGGAAATATTTTCCAACAAGTATGAAACAAGTCAAGTCGACGAATGTTGAAAATCTCACTGACATTTACAAGAATAATTATTAACATTTCGTATGACTTGTGTGAAGAGAGGCACAATATCTCTGACTTATATTGAATTCCATCGTCAGTCTTTTTTATGAAACGGCGAGAAATACCAGAGCAATATAATGTCACGTGCTAAAAATGGCACTGTCTACACTGGCTCGTAAAAACTGACCCCGATTTTACAATTGCAGATTCAAGTGGCGCTCCTGAATGATCTTTAACACTAAACGTACCAAGCGGGGTCAAATGACACCTTTCCAAAATTTACTTTAAATAAAAATGTATGTTTGAGTATTTTGTTAGAAATCAGAAGTTGTGTTGCTAATTAAATTTCCTTTAATAAATTAAGAATTTCTTTCTGAAAATCAACATTTATTCATAAGGGGTCAAATGACCCCTTATGGTAAGGTAGGTATATGTAAAATGCTGGTATGTTTAGTGTTAAATGCAAATTGCAGATACAAAAGGAGGCTTTCCACTGTTTTCTCTCATTTTTCATCAGCTGTTTTACTACAGTGTTTATTTCGCAAGATGAAATATTCATGAAAGGAAGTTTGAATTTGATAGTTACCTTTGAATGTAAGAATCAATTGTCCAGACATCACGTGCCATAGCTGAACATCATCCCCTTCGAAAGGGACAATGATAATGTGTTGCCCTGAAGGAGAAGTCTCGACGAGTTTCACGTCTTGCGGATAAGACAATGTGCAAATTTGAAGAGGCAGAGGTGGCTGAAGCCATTCGTTTAATGGCACCAATAATGGTGCTGTGTAACCATCGCACCACGCCATCGCTGCTGTAACTATTCTACTCACCTTGAATCATAAAAACATTTTCTTATCATTTGAACCTCAAGATAGGTGGAATTACTTCTAACTGAGATGCCTAGCATTAAAATGCTAGCACGTCAGCTTTGATTGCCAAAAGCTTCCTTAACTTTCCTAGAACAACTCTTCCTATTTATATTTCTATTATTCGTTATCATTATATCTGTTTTAGCAAGGCGATACACTCAGATATTATCAACTATTTCTCACCAAATCTTTGCCATCTTCAACCACAGGTCTAAGCCAACAGATCAACTGTGCGCTGAGTTGAAGAGGATCTCTCGTCAAAATGTCACTGGACTTTCTAATCGTGTAGTAAACCAACTCCAAGTCCCTGTCCAGTATATGCATCCGCAAATGTTCGAGGACGGATCTCAGGTAACTGACGGATATCATTTGCACGGCTGCCAGAAGGAAGTCGAACGTGCAGACGACCAGTTTCTTCAATTTCTCGATGTTGCCAGTTCGGAGCAAATGTAGCCAAGCTTCCTCCACGTGTCTCACGTTGTACGCTTGCGACTTGCTCTGGAAAGGTGTCTGTTTCGGTGTTTCATCTTCCGGTGTTTCATCATCCGACGACAGTTTAACATCGTTCTGCTCGAAGTACTCCGAGAAGAACAGAATCACCAATTCGCCGTGATAGTACCTCACTGTTTCCTGTTTCGGCATGTATCTCTTTCGCGCTCGGTCGCGGATCGAATTACGCCACAAGAATAGCAGCCTCCCGCTCATCACGCGCACCTACCAACGGCCAATGAATAATTGATAATGATACCAAAATATAACTGCCCGAAAGGAGAAATGTCACGGTGAAATGGTTCAATGCCATTAAATTTTCATTTCCTACAAATCTGTCCAGAAGTACTAAAAACTAATTAATATATATATATAATTATAATAATAAATATAATATAAATATAATGATGATAATAATATTATAATAATAATAATAATAATAATAATAATATAATATAATATAATACAAATATAATAATAATAAATATGATATTATATGATATTAATAAAAATGATATTATATGATATTAATATATATGATATATTAATATATATATAAAAATTAAAAACTACATAAAATGTGAATACTAATTAATATATATATATATATATATATATATATATAATTATAATAATAAGTATAATA